AGACTTAATGGATGATATTTGCCTAGCCTTACCTCAACGACTGCCAATTTACCTGCTTCTGATTAAAGTAGGCACTTTTATAAGGTCGCTTTTTTTTGCTTTCCGTAGTGATTTCAATGTGAAGCTTTGACCAGACTTCTCGAGTTTTTTCCTGTTTCCTTTACATACATTCACTCCTCTTTTATTGAACCAGTTTCTTTCCGTGGATTTTACTCCACTTCTTATAAAAAGCTAAGAAATTGTTTTCCTCCTTTCTTATAAAGATCCTTTCGTTTGATACACTATTAGTTAAGAAGTTCCGTGCTTTCCACCATTTGTGGTGGAATTTCATTCGTAAAGCAAGGGTGTTTTGAACTAAATTTATTTATTTCTGGGCTTATATCATCATAACAACTTTTGATTGTTACTAAAGGTTTTTGCAGTATCACCATCTGGAAACTCATTAAGTTCAACAAGTTCTTCGTTGTTACAATGGTAATAGTAACAATACAATTGATATGGGGACGTGGAAGCCATGAATATGGAAGTTTGAAGCAAAGCCTTTAAAACAACTGGTTTCCCACATTCAACTGTGATTAGGTAGTGTCATTCTTCGATCGTTTTCAGGCTTCACGTCATCCACCTCCATTGGATTTTCTCCTTGCCGTCAGTCAGTTGATCAGCCGTGAAAGCGCTTTTGTCATCGAAAGGGAACTCGAAGCTGTTAAAGTCATACTGCGCAGTACAGGTAGAAGAACATCTTCTTCGTATGCAGAACAGTCTTTTTCTGAGAAATCGGCATGTATTAATCTCACCTCTCCCGATATTAGCGTAGGCAGTGACTATTTCGAAGTTAATGCGCCTGCCTTCTATGTCTAGCAATGCCGAATAGATCCCGAACCAATCAATACCTATGTTTTGCAAATAGTCGTAGGTAATTCAATGCGATAATTCATATGCTGTGACATTAAATCTGTAAAATTGCTGTTCGTTATTGTTTAGGTAGTCCAATCGATTTTTTTCTTCGTAAATATTTTCCGTGATATCATTCCCCACTAGTTGTTTAATTCCATGAAGTATTGTCACCTTCGCAGTAGTTCATTTATTTCTCCGACATTTCTGTGCTATCTCTCATCTTATAGATCCTGTGATTCTGGATGGCTGCTGGGCTGAAGTAAACGGTGACTTATCGCCATATCATACAGCTTGGGCCGAGTTCTACAAGACGAAACGACGGAAGACCCCGCAGGACATCGTCGAGCTCGCTTACCATCTGGCTCATTCAAGTAGGACTTCATCTTTCAATTCTATGCTGAGATCATGGCGTCGTATCTAATCGAATATATGCTGGAGTTGATTGGATTGTATTTATTAGATTTTTTAGTATCTGATGAAGGAAAACCATGCATTGTGCCCCAGCATTAATGAGTATTCCTTTCCGCTTCCGTTCCCACGAATCAAAGTCATTTCTGATAGATTTCTGTGAGCTGAAGAATCCTATGATTATATCGTTACGAACTAATTTGATATTTTTTCTCTTAGCATATACATTTTTTCCCGTTTTTCTTCGTACATTATGGCTGCATTATGAGCACTTCTTTTAATACCGTTCCATCGAAATTTGTTAGAAAATCCTATGGTGCAGAATATCATTGAAGTTTATTTAATGCTTCTTCTATTACGAGTTTTCAATACTCTAGCCCTAACCTTTGTCACCAGCTTATTTTTAACCGCGAAGAACTCTGCTTTCTCTCCTATTACTTCTTCCTTTTGCTTGCGGAGCGAGTTGTTGCAGTACTCCGTACCGCAGTACCCTTTATGTACTTGAGATTTATGGAGGTCTGTGACGACGTTTCCAATTAGATGACAGAATGGCCGATAATGAAGAGGTTAATCCGGCCGGAATGTGTCACTTGATCGCCACCACTATCTACTCGGCCCATCTTTCGTATCGCCAATGACGAAGTGTGCTAGGGAGGGAGTGGTGACCGAGAGAAAAACATTTGGACAGGGAGTAACCAAGTCATTGTTTTCGTTGTCGACTTATTTTACCATGAGTGATGATTTATGGTGCATACTTCTTATAGCGGCATACCTTTTCGAAGTTTTTTTAATCAACGGCTTGTGCAAGGCCCGGGAAAACCCTTGGTGTGACCTTGCTAGTCGCAAAGTTCCTCTTTCTTTACAACAAGAAGATCGTTGGTTTCGTTTCTTTTGTTTTTAAGCTTTATAGAACTTACATTTTACACATTCTTAACCAAAATCTTGTTTAACAAGCTAACGAGGAAGTAATTTGAGGCAAAGGGGCATATTTTCAGAAAAGGGGAACTTTACGAAATGTGGCGTCGAAATTTTTTTTCTTAAGAAACATCCCGATAAACCACCGTCTTTACAGAAATAGGTGTTTTTTTCGGCTTTCACAAAGAAATCGTTGTTAATGAACATCTGAGGACGATTTTCTTCAAAGCATAGGACATTATTACTCCTCTGTTCGTTTATTCTGATTCGCTCTCCAATGTTGTTTTGAGAAATGAAGCTGAATAATGATGAATAGTAAATTAAAGAGATGAATCCAGATTTTTCGATAACATCTACTCGCTTCTTCTTGTTGCCACTTCGACTTCAGAGCTCTCTATTTCAGCCGTGCCTCCGCTGAGCTCCATCCGAACGCTTTCGTCGGTCGGCGCCGGCGATCTTATTCTGAAGTGCTCCGTGATCGACATTCCGACTTCCATTCTATTGTCGAAAGCCGGTGCTATCATTGAGGATCTCTCTATGAATGTGAGGTTTCCTTCCAGAGTGAATTACACTCGAATGCTTCAGAATTGGGAGAGGGAATGAATGGAAAAGCTGAGTATTTTTGCTACTGATTTATATCAAGAATAACATTCCTACGAACGTGAACAGTTAAATGTGTCTGTAATTTATGGGGTCAGAAACTGTCGAAAATATAACCCCACTATTCGAATAACCAAAAATTGGATTAATCGCACGACTCCATTTTCTGACGTCGTTTCGTCACTGCTGTGTTTCTGTCACGTTGAGGTCACATTGCTAGAATCGCCATAAAAATTATGCTTAATTTGGAGCGTGTTTTTAGTGTAATTGTTCAGGACTAAGTAAGTTAAATAGAGATAAGTATTTTCGAATGAAGAGATCGAACAGCGTTATTGAGCGATTCGGAATTCGAATATTTGTTCGCTCTTCAGATATTTTCGCTGTGAAGCGTTACGTTTTTTGACAGAACACACTACTTGAGTATATGAAATAAAACTCGAATATTTGAAAGTCTCATTCAGTCGAATTAGTCATTCGGAGTTTTCGACTCGATTAATTTACGATTAATGACCGTGAAAGGTTTTCCCACGGGTTTCCTTGATATTACGAAAATTATTCCCGCGAACCTCCATCCCGGGAATTCTGAATGCAAACTCGTTCCCAGGCCGAAGTATGACTAGTGGACTCGGCCCGATGAAGGATGTTTTTTGGTCCGACGACGACACTATTAACATTTGAATGAAAGCCGTGCACTATTTACTTACTCGGATACTTGGATGGCCCGTCCTCATTGGTTGTGCCGACCCCAGCATAATTTCCGTTTTTTCGGAGTTTTGCTGATCTAACCACTGTGATTCCCTGGAATCCCGAGGACAGCCTGGCCAAGGTGCACTCCAGGTCGTTGCAGCCCCAGGCAGCCGCAGCTCTTGTGGATTAGGGGAAAATTTGCCACCGTGCGACTAGTTTCATACCAGGACGGTGGTGGATCCTTTTGTTGGCTTATCTGGGTTTCCTGATGGAAACGCGCCGATCACCTCAGCTTGGGATCATAACCTGACACCCAGGAACACCTCCCACCCACGATTAGGTGGCGAGCCGTTTGGAGGCCGTCTGCTACTACTCCTCCAAAATAACTTTAACCTCAGGTTGTTGACATTCTGCTGTTATATAAGAGTGTTGTTGTGTTGTCAAGAGAATAGAGGATCGTAAACACTGTTCAATGCCTATGCATATATATACAAGTAAAAAAAATGGAGGTGAAATATCAGCAACTCAGTAGAAGCCTAAACCAGTTTTCGTTTACTATATTGTCCCCGAAAAGTGCTTACAAATATTTGCTATTTTAGAAATACTTTAGCTTATAAAAATCCAGCACTGTTTGAGAAATTTTCAAATCCTCGAAATGGTTCCTGCGTGAACTCCACTGATGCTCTTGTAATGAAGCAAAATTTCCATCACCTCCATATTAACGCTACGCTTCATTTCCACTCATTTTTCTATTGCGTTCTAACTCTATTAGTTAGTTTGGTTGGCATTAAGTTTGAGTAACTAACGATCATTACGCTACACAAAAGGGGATTGTGTAGCGTTTCTTCTTTATTGATCAAAACCGCTATTGTTGGAAAAGGAGCAAAGTTAGTTGTTCAGTGTAACATAAAAGCTCAACTACTTCTGAACTGGTTATGTTTAACGTTTTTCATTATCACTTTAACCATGGTAGTGCAAAAGATAGAAAGTATAATATCCAGTCGATGAGACTAAGACACTTATAACGTTCAACAGTGGCCGAACAACATTAATATCCAGTAATGGTGGTTATCGTGCTTATATATTCGACGTAAATAAGCTTTGGATGGTTCGAGTTATATAAATTCTAAAGCATTTCCTCTTCTTTCATGCTTTCTTAACCTGTAAATGTAGATTTAACCTTTGTACAAGCATGTGTGTCCCAGCTACAGGGCCAGGACGGTTCACTGCTTTGAGCTTTCCATGACAATCTGTCTGTTACGAAATAACAAAACCTAATTACTAGCTGGTGACAACTAATCAGTCGAGCAAATGACTACCTAAGCATTCGCTGCTTTCTCTTACTGCTTTCTAAAAAGTACCTCTTTTGAGATGATGTAGCATTCACGATGAGATCTCTCTATATTAATAGAGATCCCAGTCAAGGAGATCTGTTGTTGAACTTTTTTCAGGATGATTTTGTATATTTATGTTGTACGGGTGATGTTAAGACTGTGATGAAGGCAATCGGCCTACAAAATGATGTGGTGAGTGCAATCGTTTTGATATTTTTATACTAAATTTGATCGATATGTATATTTATTGATCCCATCCAGAATATAACACCTGAGTGTTATAGACTTGTATTACTTTTATCTGTCACAAGTATTGCTTTCGTATGAGCTTTGATTACGAGTGAGAGATTCTGTTTCAGGAGCTTTCTCTAGGTCTTCTGGCCGCATCTTCTCGCGGACATACGCAAATCTGCGAAGCAATTCTCCAGTACAAGCCTCAAGTATGTTTTCTCAACGTTCATTTCCATTACTTTTAGAGGAAATACAGCAGGGTTTTGTTTTCATTTTCTCCAACAAATCCTTGCTAAGTGAACCAGGGTCGTCTGTTCTTTGTCGATCTCGGTTTAATAACTATGGTGTTATAGTTATCTAACTGAAGCGGGATTGAAACCTGACCCTTGGCCAACAAAACGGAGCTAAATACTTAGCACCTTATAGATTCTTTGAAAAAGGACCGACTATATGGTGAAAAATATTAGAACATTCTCAAACCTCATAAGCTAAAAAAGCAATTCAAAGCATTCTCATAAGCTCATCAAAGAAAGAATACATATTGATTAGTGATACCGAGGTTCAGGGAAAGTCGGTTTCGAAATATTAGAACATTCTCTTCCGTGGCCAGACACCAACCTATAGTCCGAATTTATCGGTCTTGAAATCGAAATGTAACAGATTTACTTTGATTCATTATGTTATGCATAAATCATGTGTTACCGCCATAATTACCACAAGAACTGTCCGATTTTCAACAGAAATCTCAGGGATTTAAGAAACTAACTCCATTGAATTTCAACTTTGTCCATGACCACATTCTTGCCGAGTTGCTAGAAGCCTAGGTATTCTACTTGCGTAGAACTCTAGACCTCTGCTAAACTGTCATCAAGGATTTAACTTAATTTGATTTAACAGCGTCTTACTGGCAACTGTTCTTTCACAAAGAAGTTGTCCAAATATCTGAAGTGCTGGAAAGCCATTGTTATAAGTTCCTACAAGTAAGGAGTATAAGGCAGAGTGTCATACACCACTGTGTTCACGTACTGGACCACGCCACGTACGAACGTTAAGAGTATACTCTGCTTTGGAAGAGAAATTGGTCCTTTAAGTTTTCAGCGCTTACCCTGGCAGGTTTTGCAAAGGTGTTTTTTTGATTCATTGGTAAAATTCTTCTATCCTTTAATGATTTCGACAAGATTTAAGAAGTTATACTCAATGATTCCGCTTACCGAACGTGCTGGCGATACCGAACAGTGGTCGCAATGTTTTCCTCAGTCAAGGCGCTTGATCTTTTTGGAACTCACAAAGTTTTTGGAACTTTGCGCACAATTTGTGCAGAATATTGTATATTATCTTGTATAATCCTCTCTTTGTCGCTCTTCACAGTGCACTCAAGAAGCGGAAAATTTTTGTTGCACAGAACTGGGTTTTAGTGTTCTCAGACACAGTTATTTCGTCTACGCATAGTTCTAGTCATCGACGACGACGAGGTTACCGGGCTTCCCCATCTTAATGGTCCATGTCACCAGCACTAAACATGAACTTAGCGTCTACTGTATGATGCTCAATGACTCTCTTTTCATAAGCAATTAATGTAACCAAGTGTGAATCCGTTTAAAAGATCACTCGAGAATCGAATACAAATTATTAGGGTAGATGCTAATAAATTCACAGGACAGAAATCTGATGTTTACAACGGTGTTGTTAATTGGGAACCAAAGAAAATTCGCTGGCCAAGAAAACACCGTAGAGATTTTGTGATGTAAAGTCGAACATTTCACTATGAGGCAATCATCATTTTGCATTCCACATGAATTTTTAAGAATGCAGAATTCTCCCTACTTCTTACTCCTAACACATCTTTTTCCTCCCGCCAAACGGTTTACTACGTCATTGTGGCTGGTAGGTGTTCATTCTAACAAGATATGTGTACCATCGAATTAGTGGTCATTACGTGGGATTGACAACTTCTTACTTTTTCTCTATCAAATTGTCCATTATGAGGAGATAGGTAGTCTTCTTCGAACTGTCTACGAGTTCCTAATAACCTTCCTAGTTCTTCTATACGTGAATTTTCAGGTGGCGAACAACGTGTGCAACGGTCAGTGGAATGCGCTCCGAAGTGCTGCATGCAACAATCACCTGGAAGTGCTCGATCTACTCTTAACCCACGGTCTGTTCATTAAGATTGAAGGCCTCCATATCTATTTATAACAGCAATTATGGATCTTTCAAATACTCGAAAGTTAACTTTACTATGACACACATACTTTTCACGTGCTTTCAAGTTTCCGACACCATTTTTTAAAGCTATTTCCGGTTTTTGAAACGTGTTTTTTTTAAAAATTTAACTGGCAACTATTGCCTACTTAAAACGCGGCTATTCGAATGAATGTTTAGGTCTGCCTTTATCTCTTGACCCATTCTGCCTTGGCACCGTTTTTCTTGGCTGATGTCGAATACGAGTAATTTTCTCCTGCTGTGGGCTTTCTGATTTTCTGGGCATAGGAAACCATAACAGAATTGTAGAAGAGACTTTGATTTATCGTTCTATGATAACGAGTGATATGTATGCTCCTATTTGCTGTGTGTTAATACGCTTCATTATGCAAATACATTGTTGACAGCATTTAGAAGTATTTTGCGCCCTATGTTGAGTCTATTTCAGTACTTTTTATGTCCCCATGTTTCATACAATAACCACGGCCATTGACCGTCGTCCAATTACTGGTCAATGAACTTTTTCAAAAAAGGATTTTCAGTAAATCACCAAGTTCAGAGAATGGTTTTTTGTCGAATGATACCTAGTGCTGTGATGGAAACTCTGGAACCCACCGAGTATGGACACTATCTATACGGGTTGAAATGGTGTTCGAGTTCTTTATTTCTATGTTTTCTAGGAAATTTGGAGTACACTCGATAGATCGTTTGACTATAAAATAAATGGTCTTGATACTCTTCGTATTTTTGTTGAGCAAACGCGAGGTGTTACTATTCTTTGTTCACGATTAAGCTGACGTTTCGGCGGATTTCGCCTTCTTCAGAGCCGCTTTCTATGAGGATTCCACTAAGTATGTCACGTAGAGACCAACCGCACAGAAATATATACACAGTATATACAGTATATACATTATACTTCCACGTGATTTTTCTGTGCGGTTGGTCTCTACGTGATATACTTAGTGGAAACCTCATAGAAAGCGGCCCTGAAGAAGGCGAAATCCGCCGAAACGTCAGCTTAATCGTGAACAAAGAATAGTAACACCTCGCGTTTGCTCAACAAAAATACGAAGAAAATCACTTGATCAATGCCGAGGTTAATAGAAAGTCGGTCGTGGCGGTCTTNTTGGTCTCTACGTGACATACTTAGTGGAATCCTCATAGAAAGCGGCTCTGAAGAAGGCGAAATCCGCCGAAACGTCAGCTTAATCGTGAACAAAGAATAGTAACACCTCGCGTTTGCTCAACAAAAATACGAAGAAAATCACTTGATCAATGCCGAGGTTAATAGAAAGTCGGTCGTGGCGGTCTTGATACTGTTTCGATTTTCTAGCACTCCTCTTTAACCTTAAACCTAGTTATTACTTACTTAATAGCTGAATTTGCGAATAACTGGTTGGAATGTTCACTACAGGACAATGTTCAATCTTTGCACCCTACCCATAACTGCCCTTTATTCAAGTATTCCTTTACATTAAGTAGTTTCTCGCTGACCTCACAACTTTTCTCTTTAAATTTCTATTTTTTAAACTTTTTAAATCTTTTGTTCTTTTTCAATTTCATGAGTTTCGCAGTGGTGCTCGCACAGTGTTGCCTTATGACAGCTATATGGACACGTATTGAGTAGATAAATTACTAAAATGGTTAATACACTTGACAACTGCCGACTAGGGCCATTCATCCTTTTATTAATGCTGTCCGGTGGTGGCAGTAATTCGACGAGCGCTCGTATTGGCCGAAGTAATTGTTGCCCAATGGAACAGCTCAGCCATCTGGATCAGTCAGTCTTCCACTAATCTGCTCGTAGTCGAACACTAATTGCTGGCTAAATATTTATAGCTTCCCTAACATGCCAGCTATTGCTTGACAATCACCGTCAAGGGAATGTGCACATTCACGAGTCCGTCACCCACGGAAGACGGAAGTTGGGTGCATAGTAGCTGAACGTAAAGAGATCGAATCCGATTCGAAGGAAACGTCATTTCCACGGGATTCAACGCAATACGAGAAGCATCTTACATTCTACTAAGTTGTTAAATTAATAATAGTTTTGACGGGAAGCAAAAACGCGCAGTGCTTGAGTAAGTTTTAAGGGAACTGTGCCACCAAGATCGTTGGTATTGTGCCGGCACATAGGTTGAATTTCCACGAGTTTCCACGACGACTACATCTTCCGATATTTCTCAGATCTTATTAGTTTACTTTTCTGCAATTTTTCAATCATTTTGTGAATAAAGATGTTCTCCTTTAAAGAACATCTCGGTGCTTACACATTTCGATGTCTCTACAGCAGACAGCAACAGTGTTTTTTCACAGCTTCAATGGTATTTACGAGCTATTACTGTCAGCATTACTACTAACGAGAGTGCGTTTAGTGCGTGGTTAGATGTGCAATACACCCGTGGTCCTTCGTTCGATCCCGCACCATAAGCCTGACAAAAGTTACATCCCTTCCGGGTCGGAGAAAGGGTAGCAGCCTTGATTGATACATCGGTAGGGCACTGCAAGTTTTCGTACATACCAGATGTGCACATTCATATTATATTCAACATCTCTGACGATACACCTCATCCCTCAGGGAAAGACCAATACCGAACGCTTTATCGTTTTATTGCTATCATTAATGCCATTGTTATCATCATTTTTGTAGACAGAATTGAGCAAATGTTTTGAAAGCAGGAGTTACACTTATTTTAGTGATCAGGAAGGGGTTAAATTTAGGACTTCGAATGAAAATGCCGGAAGCGGATATTGGAATAAAGAATCTGCTATTGCAGGTGATGAAGTCAATGTGGACGAGGAAGGATGCGGTAGGAGGACGGCGCTTCGTGGAGCTGCCTGGTTCGTTTCCGATATTGTTTCTTTCTGTCATATCTTCCTCATTTTTTGCAGATATGCAGATAAAGCGCGTTTAGTGCGTTGTTGCAGATATGCAGACAAAAGCTGAATTAACAGAATAATAGTAGTAAGTAACGAGTTCCACGGTAGGGTATCATACGAAATCAACTGCAACGATGCTGAGACATTTGCAAAACTTTGACCCCAGGCTACATCGAACCACGACTCTCCTTTCCAGAGGACTGCCTATTACACACTGCGCCACCGAGATCCTTGCTCTGCGTTTCTCTCAGCTAGTTTTCTATAAATAGAAAAAATAGTAAGTAAATAAATAATAATCGGTAGATAAAAAATAGTAAATAGCAGTAAATAAAGGAGTAAACATTGTGATTTCGACTACAGTCCCTGGGTTCAATGCCGATATGGGCGCCCCAGATCAATCCTGTTGATGGGTGATTGCTGATGGCTTTAATCGATAGAAAACTAGATGAGAGGAACGCAGAGCAAGGGTATCGGTGGCGCACTTTGTAATGAGCAGTCCTCTGGAAAGGGGAGTCGTGGTTCGGTGTAGCCTGAGACCAAAGTTTTGCGAATATCTCAGCATCGTTGTTAATAATAATAATAATAATAATAATAATAATAATAATAGTAATAATAAGCTAACAAAATGAAGCCTAGTTTCTTGTAAACATCGTCGCAGTGAATAGTGCTTGCCTTCATAAATGCGTTGAGAAATACAAAGTTGTTTTCCTCCGCCTTTCTCTTACTGATTATTGTATTTCCGCCTTCATTCTGCCTTTATACATTATTTGAAAAGTGTTTTGTCTACTCCTTTCCGCCATTATTGGTTTTCCTACCAAAAGGATAAAAGTTTTTTTTGCAGTTATGAACTCAGAACAAAAGAACAAACTATCCTTTTGTTAACAACTAAAGAAGGATTTTTACAGAAAGCAAATTATCACAGTTATCAACCGAAACAAGTTGATCTGCTAAAAATCCGACCTCCATGGTGACCATGCATACACATGCCGTAATTCAACACTGTAAATTAATTTTTCCTACATTCACTGCTAACAGATTTTAATGGAACTGAACTGGGCGGTCCTCCTGAAGGGGAATTGAGTTTGGCGCCGTGTCTACTAATCTACGTTGTAATCCTTAGAAATCTAAAGAGGTTCAACATGAGAGCATGCTTACGTCTGATGGATAACGGCGATTATGACATTGGCGATTCAACTCAACGCCACTGACCGACACCGAGAAATTCGCTTCCTTAATATCCTAGTAAATATGAACTCATGTTACAGACTGGTGAACAGGTTTTTAGTTCAAATATGAAGAAGAAATAATGCGAAATATAATGCTATTCATCACCACATGGATAAGCTAATAGTAATAATCTGACTTTTTTCGAGGAAGGTTCGATTTTATAGTTTTTCAAGTTTCCCTTCCAAGTTCTGAGATTTTCTTTCGCATTTTTGCTGCAAAATCGTCTGCATTAACAATATTCTTGACCTACAGGGCTGGTCACCGTGACGTCGTCAGTCGTCTTCTGAAGGCTTCGGCCAGCGTCGATCGAAAAGATTCCGAGGATCGAACTGCCCTGATGGCAGCTGCATTTATGGATCACTGGGAGATTGTTGACCTTCTCCTCGATCATGGAGCTAAGATCTCTGTAAGAAATGTGTATTTCCACTAATATTTCTCTCATTACATGGATATTTCACATTTATTCTTAGGAAACCGATTCTGCAGGGGCGACGGCGCTACATCTAGCGTTGTCGAACGGCTCTAAAACCGAGGCTCATGATAAAACTGTTCAGACCCTGATAAGAAGTAAGCTGTGTTGAAGAATAATAGAATTACATTTATGAGTGTAAAAGCAGGTGCAATCGATTCTATGTATTCTTTCTGTAAATTTCATAGATTTAAATTCTTTACGAGCACCTCTTGAAATGGGTATCGGACAGGAATTGAAAATGTTTTTCAAAGGGTTCGAGTAAACTACCTTGAGTGAGTGACGTCCAATGATTGTAGAACATTACTATTGATAATTGTCGGAGACGTCCTGCAATACACATGGGATCGATCTCTGCGCCCCAGGATCACCGATCACCAACACCTCCCTCCTTCTGGGATCGGCAAATTGGTACCAGACTTGTCTGGGGAGTATAGTAGCACTGACTCGATACATTTATAGGCCACCGCGAGCCATTATAAAGGCCAGTTATGCACTCAGTTACCTCTAACGTTGCCAAATGAAGTCGAATTCATGGCGCATCCCTCAGAGAATTGATCAACGCTGAGAACTATATCCTTTTTATTCTTTATATCCATATTTTGTTTATATCATAATTTATTTGTTGTATACATGCAACCTGCTTTTTGTATCATTTTTAATAGTAGTCTGCTTACCATGTCCTTGTTTGTTGAGTGGAAGGTGAGTTCCTTTGAGGAGGAAGCGATCTTACCGTGACGGACGCACACGGACGAGTGTGCCTCCATCTGGCCGCCTACTATGGTGACCGGAACCTGACGTCGCTCGTCGGAGCCACTTGCATTGACATCCAGGTACTATCTCAATTTTTATCCGAGCGGCTTATCTATCAGTGATTTTGTAATGTTGAAAATTCATTACGTGAGTTTCCTGAATGTCCAATACTCTCTCATACCCTGACTGCCATGATTTTAGATGAACTCTTTCTTCCCAAAAAAAGTATCCATAAAATTTTTCTTCACTTGTGCGACAACGAAGAAGGTTTTTCGCAGCTGTAAAAACTTTACAGTTCTCGCTTAAGAACTTCATTCATATTTTTTGTCATATTTTGCACTTATTTACAATTTCATTAGGAATAACAATCCTATGAAGACAACATGTCCGGACTTTTCCTTGTTTAGGATTCCCTTGGACGTACGCCGCTGATGTTAGCTGCTAGCCAGGGACAAGTGGAGGCCGTTAATCAGCTGGTGAAAAACGGTAATTTAAAACGCAGTTTAGGTTCTCCTAACTAGTATGTAGTCTACATATTTGTGTGTGGGAGAAATTTTCAGCAAGGAAAATGACAACTTCCAACCATTACCAGAAACATGCGTGCTACATTTTTGTGAGTACGATGTGTCGTATGGAATGGTCGTGCATTTGAAATACAGAAATAGACTCAGCATAGGCTGCAAGACATTTCCAAACGTTGACGGCAACGTGTTACGGCAAAGTCTGTCCTACAATGCTCTCATGCTCACAGCCCCTCAATTCCTGTAGTTGTCAGAGAATTATTATTTATTGTCAAAAGCGGCATTTTCGTGAGAGCAAAACATTATACGTCGTCTTTCTCAACGGATATGAAAATTAGGTGCTGTTGCGAATTGTTATCTCTCCTCACTCTTTCGGCTTAGACGCCGTGTTTTTTCTCGAGTTCCGTCTAGTAATATTAATACTGCATATTGTCCTTCGCTATGAATTTTCCGTCATTTCTAGACGTCTCATTTAATGGAATACGACTTTACTAAAGCTATGAGCATCTCCGATGACTATGAATATTACTATCAAACGAAAGACCCGCATGGTGTGGTGGTGAATTCTTTAGCTCCCGAAAGTGTAATAGACCGTTCGTTCCCCATCGCAGACACGAGCGGTCCGGAGTTTTGCAAGTATCTCAGCATCGCTGTGGTTGTACGTCGCATAATACCCTTCCATAAAAAAATTGTAGGTGGCAGCAAATAAAAAGTTAAAACTATGAACTTTATTTAACGGCACATGAAATTATTTAACAGGTCAATTCTTATATCTTACGCTGTTCCAAATGGTTTCATTCGTTTTGTAACCTCGTCATCCATAAGAATTTCCATGTATTATTTTCGAATATATGAGTTTGGCTATACCTAGAAAAATTTCCGGTCCGGTTTTTGTCTCTGACATGCTAAATGTGGACCGAGCGTAGTTTTACTTTCCTGGAGTCCTGGTAAGGTCCTAAAGGGATGTCTTAAAATCTTCATCAGTCGTTGGCGTAATCTGTACTGTTTCCGCCCAACCGCTAGTATTCTTTCAGAAGTGCAACGATTGCTGTGAGGACATAGGTCGTTCTGATTAGTTGATTGACCAATCTGCGACTATAGGAAAGGCTAAACCTGCATTTTATTACACGATCAACCTTCACATATGTTGTGCGAATCCCAACCTTTCTCCATTCGATTATTTTCCTGATATCCTTCAAGGTCTTTGGATCTGCAAGTGTGTTTGGCTACAGCCTTCTAATATTTGGTCTTCTTCATGAATATCGTTGAATTCTGCTCAAGTTGGTTTGCCCTACTTGAAAGCCAGTTCTAAGATAGCAGAGCTGTGGCATTCCTACGCTTTGTGAATTGGGCAACGAGTCTTCTAGGAGGGTTAGGTACCAATTCCTCGACCTCGGAGCGATGGAAGGTTGCTTTACATAAGGCGATGTAGAACTAGGACCTTTAGAGTGTTGAGTAGCATCACCACCACTGTACTACTTCGTATCTCCACTATAAGCACACTATTGTATTTTAAAGTGTTGTAATGTTATACTAGTCCATGATTTGATATATTAGGAGCTTACATCGATTGCATTGACTCTGATGGCAGAACCGCCTTCCAGTTGGCTGCCATTCATGGCCATCTGCAAGTGGTTGATATGCTGTTGGCATTCGGTGCTGATGAAGCACATAAGGTGAGCTCTTCTCTCCTAAACGGATGCCTTAAGCCATTAAAAGTTTCTAAATGATGTTGGACTACTACTAAGTGGTGTTATATGTGAGACTTATCCATAAGGATCACGTGGGGAAGGCAAATTTAGGGAAACAAGCAAATGAAGAAAATTAAGATGTAAACTGTGCTAACACTTTTTTCTAACTCGTCACTACGTTTGTGTAATGGTTGTCTACTGCTGTCTGCAAGTTTCTTTTTGGCTTCTAGATGGTGTTCCTGCTTTTTCGAAAGGCATCCTTATATATTTCCCATTAAGCAGCAACTAAATTACCAATAGCATTGAGATTCCTTGACCTAACCCATGGACGAGTTGTTGGTCATTAGGATTTTAGTAAAACTTCTACTGAGTGTTCCACCCAGATTTCATTTAAGTTTTTGTTTAGTCGAATGCATTTTAATGCGCTGACCTCATATGCTACCTCAAAATCCTCGTATTCGAAAATCAGCATCGGCGATACCAAAAATGGTAGATTTCTTGTCGAACACACAGTCCAAATTAATCTTCTGTCTAAAGAATTTCGCTCTCATTGATTTTTCCTGCCTGTTTAGGACCTTCATAATTCCATAATTGATAAGATGTCAACTGTTAAAAAAGCAATCGTAACAAGATCTGGAGGAATTCAAAAATGATGTCAAATTCACATCTCTAGAAATCGATTTTTATTCAACTTCGGCGTAAAAAATCAATAGTTTCCTGAATTATTGGTCTGGCACGAGGTTGGCGCAAAATATTTATCCGGTTAGACAGTGTCAATTCAATAATTCAAGAAACTACTGATGTTGAAATATGTTCGTTTAAGGAAGAGATTGACAAGATTGTTCAGGACAACGACGGTGCGGTCGCCCTGCACTATGCTGTTGCCCACGGGGAAGTGGCCCTCTGTCGGGCGCTAGCTACCTCGGCGACCGTGAATGCCACAGATCGCGCAGGCAATCATCCGCTAATTAACGCTTGTCAGAGCGACAACGAAGAGGTTCGCCTCAATTCGCATCCAGAAATTTCGAATCTTCCCGAATCGTTGAATCGACACTAGTCTCAGCACTTACTATTGAGCCAGAGCAATATTCGTTGACTAAGCAAAATGGTTAATTTTATTTCCTGAAATCCGGTCGGCTACAGTGGGATAAAGAAGTTATCTGAAGAATTGCTAATTTGCACTGGGGAATCTCGGCAACACTAGGAACTAAATGTGGCAGACCGTTGTAGGAATTAAATCAACCGTGTTAAAATCATAAGAACCGGTTTCTCAGCTGGTCAAGCTGTCGAATGAGCTATTGAGAATAATAAGTAAACAAACGTTCTAAGACGGTTTGAACAGTTTTTGAGTTCATCTTAGTTCCTCTTACCCTTGCCACTCCCCAGGATAGTTTAGTAATGTGAACGAAATGAAGTGTTGTTTTACTGAAAACAACATTTCTAGTAAAGGAAATCGTGGATGTGTCTTTTTTATTTTCAATGTTTTTTCACTCTTATGATTAAAAGTTTATTTAACAGACCTATTTGCTTTGAAATAAAAGTGTTTAAACATAAAATCACTTTTCCAAGGTATTTTTTTCTATAGGACGATGATTGTTTTACAGGTGGTTCGCGAGCTTCTCAACCTTGGCGCTAATGTTGACCAGCTTTCACTGAGTGGTCAAAGCGCATTACGAGTGGCTGCTCTCACTGGTAACGCTAAGATTGTTCGAGTAAGTCACCACTTGTCCATCTGGAAATGCTTTTACTTTTCTATAACCTTATTTCGTCGACTGATCCATTTTGTTCTTTCCTCAAAAAACATTTTTGATGGAAGTAACGCTGCCAGACTTCGAAAACTAGCAAATTCTTCTTCCTTTCAAAATTCAAAAACTTTTCGGATGTTAGCGTTAAGATTCTGGCTAAAACATTTTTGAGAAAGTTCGATGCCATAGATTTTTGCGCCACAGAGTTCTCTGGCGCTGTTCTTGGACTGAATTTGTATTCTTTATGATCACTGAAACTTTTAAATTCCGTAATAGACTGTTCGACTTCTCGATAACTGCGATGAGGGCGAAGTGTAAGCACGGTAGTACCCCTCAGTAGCCACATTTGTTCGAGGGATATCAACTACTCAGATTGAAGGACAAGTAAATCTTGCTTGTAAAAAAATTTTTGTATGAATGGCGAAAATTTCGAAATGAAAAACACCTGGACTAGGTATAATATTTCGTTTCGACAAGGAATTCGGAACAAAAATTGTATACTGGTTGTTAGGCAGTGATTTTCTATAATTTGTCTTCTCTGGATATTTTTCTCCGAAATAGAGGCTACAAATAAATTCTGGTTCAACCATTACTTGTCAATTTACCTAAAACGTTTCAAAGGAGCGAAATATGGCTTCACTTGAAGTCGCAATTTTCAAATTAGATGAAGTTGTTAAACTTTTTTCATATGCTGGTTGGGGTAGCTGTCTCAGAGTGGGTTATTCTATAGGACAACAACTGTCAAAGTGTTGTGTACAGAGTCGAAATTCACTTTACATAAGACTCGGACATTTAGTTATCAGTAATAGGTTTGTAGTGGGATTCATTTAAAAATGGGAAATTCTTTGAGGTTCTGGCAGAGCACATTACTGACTGGGAACAGCATGATATGGACGGTACTCCACTCGTGCATACCTTACTGATTAACAGACAAGTACGTCAACACCCAGACATGGTTTATTTTGGAAAGCTCACGAATACTCTGTGAGAAAAAGTTCCTTCTTACAGACTGCGATGGCTGAGTTACTTCTGACCCTAGGAGCATTCATCTCTGCCAAAGACACACATGGACGGACCTGTGCTCATGTGGTGGGAATTTTCTACAACAATTTACTGTTCATACTCGCCATTCTAGGCAAGTACAAAGTGATGGCAAAATTCTTGAAGATATCTTTTGTGGCAGAAATCCTTGAAAGTGCAGATTTTTTAATAGCAAGTTTCGTACTTGAGAGGGCACGTCATGCTACTAGTTCTTTTTAGGTGTGCGCCATAAATGACATGTGTGGTGCTCGAATGCTTCGCCGATTGGCGGCGTCCTTCGAAGCGGTCGACGCCGGTGGCAGAACTCCATTGTTGACGACTGTTTGGAATGGTCATATGGAAATGTCCGCCTTCCTGCTCGAAACCGTTGGCGTAAATCCAAACTCAGTTGACGAACAAGTGAGCATTTCTAAGAAGCTACATCAACATGTACTTATCAGAACTGGCTGATAGATATGCAAAGGAGGGGCCTCAGTGTGTAGTGGGTAATACGTGAGCTTCTAGAAAGGGTAATCGCAGATTCAAACCTGGCCGAGGTCCAAGTTTCGGAAACGCCTCCGCATCATTGTAATTGTATTTCACATCATGTCCTGCTGTGAAAAATAATAGTAAGCAGTAAATAAAAAGTTAACATATATCAGTCTTATTCTCAACTATAACACTCACCTAACTCACTATAGTCTTGATGATCAAACACGAGATTGGGGTTGTTACTTTATTCCATATTTACGAGCAAGCTAACGTTTCGGCGGATTTCGCTTTTCTCAAAGCCTGGTGAGGTCAAGTTGACTGAGGTTTACACAACCAAACACCTCCATAACCGAAACAGAAGAAACACGAAACTAATTTTAATAGGGTTGAGAATAAGTTTTCCACTGAATATTTACATTTTTAGACTAGATAGGAAATATCGTTCTTCAGGGCGCATCCGCACTCTCTGTGGCTGCACAGCAGGGGAATCGCGATTTAGTAGTGCTTCTTCTACGGATGGGCGCCGAGCCATCTTTGAAGGACTTGGCTGGCAGGACAGCATTAGACGTCGCTACCATCTATGGTCATGACGCTATCAAAGCGGTGTTGCAGGTTCGTTCCCCTATATGTTGTCTTTCTTCTTAGATGTTTGACTACGGTACTTACGAAAACATCGTCCGTGATAAGATGTACCAGAATTACAACACAATTAATAACTTGTCCCAAATTTTCATGAGGTTTCAAGGCTATTGTAGCACATAAGTCTACCACTTTTCATTAAAATAGCGACATTTTTAATAAAACAGCGTGAGCCAATATTCCAGTTCATCAGTCCAGTGGTTTTTCATAAGATGAAAACCATGAGCTTGCATTATTTTAGACGCTGTTGTGAAGTGTTTTTCCTTTGTAGCCGCACGTGATCATTTATGCCTGCCAAGTAGATAAGCAAGCCTTTTAATGGATATCAAGTAACGAAACTTGTGCCAAAGGATATATTCTTACATTAAATCGGTTTTAGAGGACATCAAACTTTTATTTCCAATACAAAGGCATTAATTCCATACTTTCAACGCATCATACAGTCCATTTTACGAACACCCAGATGTCTCTGGTTCGTCTGCGTAATGCGCGTCTTAACAGCGCGTACGTGATGGAGTCCCTCGACGTTACCGCCCTTCATGCAAACGTGTGGAATGACTTCGCAATGCAACCCACTCTCGAACTTCCTATACAACACGAAGGAACAATAAACATGTATAGCTTCAAGATAGAGCAGCTGATGACACTCTTAAAAGAATGCCTAAACTGCTCAACCTTCAGATGATCCGGGAAGTACTGCGCAGAAATGAGAGGGTTCGCAATGGAACAGCGACTGGCAGCACACTTTGCCATTGAATCTATGTCTAAGGTGTAAGCACCAATAACGGACACCTGACCCCGTATATTCTATTGCAGATACATAGATGAACGGTTTGTCATTTATTGAACTCAAGAGGAAACGGACAATTGTTTCGTGTTATTGAATGAACACTCAGAACACAGTAAGTTTGCCCCAGAGAAACTGAAATAAAGATGGCTTCCATTTGTGAACGTTCAAATTAACCTATCCGAAAACGGCTACATTGCGAAGTGTTACCAAAATCAAAGTAGGAAAACAGTAATGGTTCCTTACCTCTCCCCTCACCCAGCACACACTAGAAGGGCGCTTATAAAAAACAATTTTGGAACGGCCACTAGCATGTGCACAGAAGAGCAGAATCAGGACTCCCGGAGGTTGGGGCGGCAAATATCAAAAAGCCCATTGAAAATGAAAGTGTAGCTCGTTGGAATAGATATAGAGGGAAATCCAAACTGGTAAGTTTAGTGATAATAAGATCTCATTTGTCCTGCTCTTCATTTCAAACGGAATAAGCGCAGCTATAAGCTATATAGCTATACGCTTCTTCAGAAGGGCCGCTGTAGAGAATTGGGTATGAGTGATTGAAATACCGCAGAGCGCACCAAGACACCAGGTAGTGCGGAACCGCCTGTATGACCGCCTATAGACAACGCGAAATTGCATAATATGTGATAACGGTAGAGACGGCGATTGTATTAGTTCGGGTGCAGATTTTCTTAGCTCTTGTGAAGCGTGCGGTGACGAATGCATTGGTGAAACGGATAGACCGCTCTGTGTCTACGTATAAAGGAACATCTTGTCGGTAAATATGAAGTTAAACCAAATACTCCACTAGGCACGCATAGGACAAAGAGGCATAACTGGCAAGATTTCGAAGTAGAAGTTACGATGCTTGCACAGGAATCGAATACACAAGCGCGCAAAACTCTCGAGGCATTCTGGATTAATTCTAAGAATCTGAAAATGAACCGCAGAGAGGAATGTCTCGTCATTACGTGTGATCTCATTCGATATTTAAAATGATGTTTTAATGTGAGAGAAAACATCCATATGAACTCTGTGCGATGGATCTCTACGTGAAATATTCAGTGGAAAACTCATAAAAAGCGATGAGTATGCGAAGATGCTAGTTTATTTTCAACGCGATTGAAATCCTGGTTTAGTATTTTCCTTGTTTTAGTTTGCAGTGAAATGGACCTTTCCAGACTCTTATGGAAGCGAAATCTGTTGAATCGTCAGCTTTACCCTAATAAAGAATAGTGTAACACCGTCGTCTTTGCTTAACGAAAACAGGGAATTATTTGATCAGTGCCGAGGTTAATAGAAAGTCAGTCGTGGGCATCGTGCAATGTTTGTGGGCACGTGTAGGGCAGTGATTAGAGGTCCCCTGCAACATACATGTAGTCGTTGGTTAGATCCGGCGCCCGCGACCCACCAAATCTTCCGGAGTTGACAGATTGGTACCAGGCTCGTCTGCGAGGATAGCAGCACTGACTTACAGACTTACAAGCTGCCTACAGTGTTCGTATTTAAAATTGAAATGGTAGCTCACCGCATGCCATTGACTAGAACAGATTTACATTTAATCAACTGTAACGATACTTAGTGAAGTCGAATGAATGGCGCATCCCTCAGGGATTGATCATTGGGAGCTCTATCCTTTTTATCTGTAGCATTCAGGGATATCAAGAACATTTTGAAAGTTGAAACACAAATTTCGCTTCTTTGAACCCTTCAAAACACTTCCGCAAACGAACAAATTTCAAGGACGATGGCCAGCCAAATAAGACGGTCCGCAAGATTTTCCTTCTACAAATAAAGCTGTAAAGCGTTCGTTTCCTTTCAGCCAAGTCTAGTGTGTCAATTTGTTGTCTACGAATGAACGGTCGCCCTTACTTGCACAGACGCGGCATCCATGCAAAGACCTTGTATCTACTGCATGGCGCCTCTAACCACTGCGTTATCCGCATCCCTTATTTCATACAAATTTCTTGTTTAGAAATTCGGCCGCATGCTAGCTCCACAAGCTGCCTACAGTGTTCGTATTTAAAATTGAAAGCGTTTCACCCAACACTGGAAAATTTGTCAAATTGTTGAGGGAATGAAAAATTTCTTGTTGGAGAATTATTATTTATTATCATTGTACTCCAATTCATCGAAATATATATATCGAACTTGCATGAAAATTTGAATTACCCTCCAACGTCTCCGTAGTGTTAATCCTTTCAGTCAGCTAGCGGATCAGCGGACTCGTCGGGTTTCGGCAGCCTTCCGAATTCACCGATAGCTTTTCGATCTCTAGGGCGAAAATCTCTGCGGATGACACAAACTCCGACTGCAACAAGCCCTCAGCATAATAAAAGAGAGTTGTAATAAATAGCCACTTGTTCATTCTCAGATATCCGGTCTTCTAGTCACGGTAAGATTCTATCCACTCTATGCTGTGAAGATTGTATTTACAGAATTTTATCGTTAAGATCCTATCCATTCCTACTTTTTTGTTTGTTTTTCTTTGTTCATTGCTTCAACAAATACTATTGGTCTCTGACATACGAGCAGCAATAAATTCTTCATTTTTTGACGAACGTACAGCTTGAAAATATACAAGCAACCGCGACCTGCTCAACTTTCGCAAATTATTCGATTGGAGCACAAATACTGTTGACTTCTGTTTATATTGTTATTCTTGATGATCTTTATAAGATGGATAAAGGATAAAGCTCTCAGCATTGTTCAATCCCTGAGGGATGCGCCATGGATTCGACTCCATTAAGAATCGTTTGAAAGTGATTGGATGCATATCTGGCCTTTACAATGACTTACTGTAGTCTACCGTTCTATCGAGCCAGTGCTGCTATTTTCCCAGACAAGTTTGGTACCAATTTGCCGACCCCATAGGGTTGAAACGCTTGGTGGGCCATGGGCGCGGGATCGACTCAACATGTGTGTTGCAGGGCGCCTCCGACCACTGCGTCAAACGCACCCTTAATATATGACAGAAATTTAGTCTGCAGTATAGTCACCGCTATGACCAAAAGTAATACGAATCGAAGAAGTTTTCGGCACTCATTTTGATGCCGTTGTAGTCGGCAAACTTGTTGTGGGCGCAGGTGATCCTTCAGGCCAAATAGTAAGTGGTGAAATAGACCCACCATGTTTGGTGGCACAGTGGTCGTCGTGTGGAAAAAATCAACCCTAATAACTGCGAGTTAGCTTTAGTTACAGTAAGGTTGCACTCAACGCTATCAGTGTACTGCCTTCTCTCAATATTTTGTGTTCTTTAGACAAATGGGCCTACTTAACAACTAAGACCTTCTATGGGGACAACTGAAGGGTAGAGTTACCGGCTTGATTTATTCAATTCTAAAACGGTTTGTAGTTGATACAGATGATTTTTGTACTCCAACATGAACGAAGATGTGCGGTTTAATACCTTCCCACCGACTAATAGCTGTTTTTGCAATCCTTTATAACAGAGTGAGCGCCCATGTGTGCTGAAATTTTGTGATTTGTGTAGGCCAACAGGTCCAAGTGGTCCAGGTAGTATCTTTGGTTATTATTACTATTACTATTGTTATTATTATTGCTGTAACAAAATAGTTAGCGGCGAAGTGTAGCGGTTCAGGTTGATGTAGAATATTAGCCACGCGGGTCTTTGGCTGCTATATTGTTCCAACAGCCTCAAACTTGGGTAATTAAACCTTTAATACATAAATACAACATTAGCAACATAACAGTAACGATAGAGAAGTAATGGTAGAGGAATAACGCGAGTTAAAGCTCTGATGTGCTAAGGCTTGTAGTGAAGTGAGGCTAACAACGAAACAATGGCATTCAAATATTATTATACCATTAATACAATCGTCAGCCACATGCGACTATAATCAGCTGTTCTAAACTTCCTCATTGGAAGTCACGAAAAAAGCGGCTCTGAAGAAGGCGATACTGCCGAAACGTCAGCTAGCGTTGTATTGTATTGTGTTTTTATGGAAGTAAATGTATGCTGTTTAAAAACCTCGCGATTGCTGAACAAAAACGACACATTAATACAATATTAACAATAATAATGAGATTACAACGAAGCAGCCGCTGGTTAGCCGTGAGCGATGCCGAGCCGCGTCTATCCGCGGCCGGTGCGGCGGCCATATATGGACATCAAATACTGTTGTCTAGGAAGATAGAAAACTTTTCCAGAGAAAAGTTCTCTATGATTGCATTATTATTGTTTTATTATTATTATCATCAAATTATTGCCATTATTATTATTGCTACTATTATTATCATTGTTATTATTATTATTATTATTATTATTATTATTATTATGTATTCTTTCTTGATAAGCTTGCACGAGGTTGATAAATATATTTATTTTCGGCTAACGTTTCGACGTCTTCGTCTTCCTCAGAGCCGGTGATCCGAGTCGATGGTCCATGATTGTTGTTCGTCTCGACGTTGCATAGCATAAATAAATATATTTATCAACCTCGTGCAAGCTTATCAAGAAAGAATACATATTGATTAGTCACACCGAGGTTTAGGGAAGGTCGGTTTCGAAATATTGCTACGCTTTGTGCTAGCTGATAATACACCGACCTCTGCACGATGTGCGCAATGATGTATGTCCGGAAGAAATACAAGTTCTTACCACCGGACTTTGTCATTATATATCCACCATCAGCATCGTGTATAAAAGGGCATCACTGAGTGAGGATGCCTCATTCGAGAAGATGGCTCACTGAGGAAGATCTGGCTCGACACGAAGGCGAAGACGCAACGTCGAGGCGAACAACAAGCATGGACTATCGACTCGGATCACCGGCTCTGAGGAAGACGAAGACGTCGAAACGTTAGCCGAAAATAAATATATTTATCAACCTCGTGCAAGCTTATCAAGAAAGAATACATATTGATTAGTCACACCGAGGTTTAGGGAAGGTCGGTTTCGAAATATTATTATTATTATTATTACTTATTACAAGGGGCTAGTAGTAGAGCGTTAGTGCCGTTCACCATCAGCAGAACTCTGGTTCGATCCCTCACCGCGCACATCAAGCCTCTTATTCCTTTGGGCTTAGGAAATTGGTACCAGAGTCGTCTGTGACCAGCTCACTCGCTAAAATCAACGCAGAACGGTAGCACGGCTATCCCAGAATTTAAATGAGGATTAAGTCGACAAGCATTCAACGATATTCATGACGAACAGAATAATCATTAAGCAGCGGCCGAACTCCCACGTGAAAGTTCGAAGACCTTCGCGAATGATAGGTGCGCGTATACGAATGGAACACGTGAAATGCTGAAATCTGCACAGTTGATGTAAAGATGAGTCATCTAGAATAAAAAATTCAAAAAGTTAAGTAGTTAAATTACCCGGTGTCACATGTATCTCGTTGTGTGGATCTGAGCACTTACTGCATTCCATTCGTTTACTCGTATCCACCATCTAGGAAGGTCTTCGAATTTTTTTTCGTGTGTCAGTTCGACCCTTAAGGATTTTTTCGCCTTCGTCATTAATATCGTTAAATGTTAGTCGAGCCAGTTCCATCTAGAATCCTGAGATAGCTGTCCTATGGCATTCCCACGTTGGTTTAAAAAGTTATCTTGCCTCAGATATCTCTGGTACCAATTTCCCAACCCTAGAGGGATGAAAAATTTCTTTGTTATTACAAACTTCTAAGTGGCATAAGTCAGCTTTCTGAAATCAGTGCAAGGGTCTTTTTTCCCAAATATGTCGATGTTTGAATAAAGCGGTTATTTAAGAAGTCCACTTAACTGCTAACTCACTTGGACGATGACAATCAATCCCTGAGATCTACGACGACGACAATTTATCGCGTGCCCAGCTCTTATTACACTAGAATACCGTGCAAAATGATTTACTAAGAGATATTAGTTCAATGAAATCGATAAAACAGCGGTGTTAATAGTTGAAAATGTCTACTGAACATGTTGAGTCCATTAGAGTGTCAACAACAGGCGGGCGCGTAGCACCAGTCTCCGAACGACTACTTATTGGTGTATCTAACTGTATTGAGCCGGTGAGCACTGTTGAGGTCCGATTCATTGAGATATACAAGACTTATGTTACTTGCCTCTTAATAATCTCTTATATGACCAAGATGACAAGAGGTTGGTAAAAAAAAGGCTTTTATTGGGCCAACGTTTCTAAGCCTTCGCCTTTCTCAGAGTCGCGTTGATTCGAATCGATGGTCCACAGCTGGTTGTCGTCGCTATGTGGATGATCGCTGTCGCATCAAGTCGAATCCAGTGCAAAGGGTACCGTTGGGATGGTTAACCCTTTCCCGACTATGCGCGTCGATATCAATACGTACGCTGTTGTACGCTTCGGACCGTACACCTTAATATAAATGCGTATGCTTTTTTGCCATAGCCGCACATATCTTTTTTTGCCAGACTTTTTGTAGTCATTCGATAGCTTCCCGAAAACGAACCATTTTTGTACAGTGGCTGGTCCATGGATGGCATTTCTCATAGCGGTGTGCTAGCGTAAACTGTACTACACCATACTTTCGAACGAGTTACTTCGTCTGCCCTAATTCCACAGTGAATATGTTGGTGCTTACACAATAAAGTTTAGAGGTCAGGGACACTTTATCGTGACGATGAGATGACATATCACCGAAGAGACTTCTGTGAACGTGTTTGAAGCTTTCAGAAGGCTTCTGTATCCACAAAGTTTTCGCTTATTAGTGAGTAAACTACATCCTTGGCAAAAGAATATATGCCCAATTCTTATTGCACTATTATAATGAGATTATTATCTCACCACACTTTTTCATCGCCTATGCTGTCAACGTTCGAATCAAAGACATTTATTCTCCAATGTGTGACCGTCAGTAGTAGCTTATGTGGAGATGTTTGTACCAAAGGATATGAGTAGATAGAGTGCTCATTCCTCTCAACGGTTTACCGCCTCATCGTGGCTCGGAAGTGTTTCTGGATGTCGGACGACGATTTACAGCGGAAGATTCATCTCCTAGCAGGGTCTATTAAGCTGAGAAGGAGTCTGGCGTTTTCATCAGGAATCCTAGCTAACAGTAAACCAATACCAGGATCCACCACGGTCCTGGCATCAATGCCCCATGGTGGGTAATCTCCCTCTGATCCACAAAGGGATGCGACTGCCTGTGGTGGTGTGGACCTGGGGCAGACTTTGCCCAGGCTGACCTCGGGATTCCAAAAATCACAGTGGCTTAACTTGCAAATCTCCGAGAACGAGATTATACTGGGGTTCGCACAACCCGTGAGGACGGGCCATTCAAGTATTTAAGTATCAAGAGTGCTCTTCCATCAAAGTGCAAAGTCCTTATTAGGAAAGAATGCATATTACTAACTCATATCTTTCGTAACGTCTTACTGTTACCGTGTAAACCTTTTACCAGAACTGTTTATTTAACAATCATCGAATTATAAAATCAGCACCCGTCAACAATTAACTCTATACAATCAGTAAACAATTCATCCTTCACAATCAGTACTAGTTAACGATACACCTTTCTTGAATAAAATTTGTACTTCATGCAGATAATCAACACTTAGTACATCCTAGAATAACCAGAACTGAGCAATAATCAAATTATAACCACAATGATGCTGAGACATGTGCAAAACTCCGAGCCGCAGGTGTCTGTGGTGCGGAGCGAACGCGCTCTTACCCTTTCCGGAGGCTAACGCACTCACCGCCACATCATGCGGTCCTTCGTTTTGCCTGTCTCTCAGCTAGTATTCTATCGATCACTGCCATCAGCAGTCACCCATCAACGGGATTGATCTGCGGAACCCAAATCGGCGTTGAACCAAGTTATTTTATTTGCTGCCTACTATTTCACGGCAGGGTATCATGCGATATGCGACTACAATGATGCTGAGATCCTTGCGAAACTCCTGACCGGAGAATTCTGCGGTGGGGAACGAACGCGTTATTACCCTTTCCGGGAGCTAAAACTTTCACCACCACACTATTCGACTAAATCAGATAATACTTCTCAATAATCCTTAATTTAACAATATACAATATGCAATTGCTACCTATAGTATTTCTGACGAGCACTACTATGAGGTCTAAACAAACATGCTTCCTACATTGGCCTCACCTTGTATTTACTTACCTAGCATTCCTTGTAGCATATCTAGAATTTCCATGCGCCGTTTACTTTTTGTGAAACTCAACACAACCTTCCTCTTTTTATCATTCGGACAACATCTTCGATTCTGAGAGGATCTTGACTCCTAAAACATCCACAAAAGTATATATGTATATGTATATATATATATATATAATCTTCTATATAATCTAACTATATCAAAAAGCTAAAGACAGTAAAAGAAACGAGTCTCATTCCTCTGACCCCGAAAGAGCTCCAATTCGGCAGCGAGGGATAGGACGAGTACGGAGAGGCTATTAAAATCTCAGGGCTAATGAAGCTGCCTGGATTAGAAAGAACTATGGTGGCAATCGGTAACTACAGTGCACGTACACTTGCATCCGACTCCTCAATAGAAGACTTGCTCATGCAAGCAAGAAGGATTAGGTACGACATCATCAGCCTGGCCGAGACAAGACTACCCCACCCATTCAATGCCGTCTATGACACCGAAGAAGAAGTGTTCATCGGAACACACGACAGTAGAGGAGTCGGCGGTGTTGGCGTTCCCGTCAACACAAGTTTATCCATGAACATTGATTGATTCGAACAACTTACAACCCGAATCGGACGTTTATGATTAAAAAAATGTGGATCAATACCGGCTTTGACAATCTTCGTCGTTTACGCACCGACATCATACTATGACGAAGAAGAAGTCGAAGCGTTCTTTATGGACCAGGAGAAGTTCTGCAGAAAAGACCATACACTCTTCACGGTCATCACTGGAGATTTCAATGCCAAGACTGGACCAAGAAGAACGTCTGAAGATCGTCACATTAGTGCCGATGGATTAGAATGGAACGAAGAGTGTGATCGGCTAACCAACCATACTCGCATTTCCAGAAGCCCCACTCTCAACGCTGGACGTGGGAATCTCCCAGTGGAGAGTACCGTAACGAAATAGACCACGTCGTAGTAAATAGAAAGCTTTGCCCAACCGATGTCGCTGATGTCCCAACATTCTACACGGTATCAAACTATCACCTCTTTCGTGCAAGATTTTATTTTTCGAGGAAAGGAGAAAAAGCCGCTAAATTCGAAAACCGCATTGAGAGAACCACCATGAACTGAGTCTTATTCAATTCGTTAATCGGATTTTGGGAAGATGCCGTTGTCAATAACATCGGCGAGTAATGCGATCGGCTCATTCGACATCTTCGCGTTAGCGGTATCAAAGCTGAAACTTACCAAGAGACGTCTGTCTCCAGAAACTCTCGAGCTGATACGCCAGCGTGGAATCGCACCAGCTGCAAGCAACCGCGTACTAGCGTTCGAACTTGCAAAACAATGCAGACAGGCGATAGAAGATCTTAAAGAAAAAAGAGCAGCAGTAATGGCCGAAGTTGCAGAGGCTGGGAAAACCATTCGCAAAGCCCGCCGAAGCTTCGCCAATTACAAGACCAAGGTGCTTGCGCTCCGACGCCCAGACGGAACAGTTACAGCGTTCAGAAAGGCAACGGAGAAAATCGTTCACGAATACTGCTCACATCTTTTCGATAGCCACGCCCACCTCCCGTCATATGAATTAAAGGAAAATGGATATGTTGTACCACCGGTTCTTCCTTCCGAAATCCGATATGTCATTTCGTCGGTGATAAATCGAACAGCACCAGGTTCGGGCAGGATAAGACCAGAACACCTGAAGAACCTTCTGCCAGTTGTCGTAAACACACTGGTTTCGCTCTTCACACGTTACCTGTCTGAATGCAAGGTCCCTACTTAGTGGAAGACCAACAAGACCGTGTTATTGTTCAAAAAGCGTGACGTACACGATATCGGCAGCTATCACCCAATCTTCTTACTGTCTATCGTCTACAAATTTTTCACTCGAGTCATCCCAAATAGGATACACGGAACACTAGACGAAGGACAGCCATGTGAACAAGCAGGGCTTCGAAAAGGATATAGTACGATGGACCACATCCGCACGGTAACAAGGCTCACTGAAGCATCGCAATAGCACAAAAGACCGCTCTGTTTCACTTTCATCGATTTAAAGGCGGCCTTTGATTCAACTGAGATAGAAGCGGTCATGGAAACCCTTGATAGTCATGGAGTCCCTGCTCAGTAGATATTCTTCGTGAGCTGTACAAAAATTTCACAACCAAGATATCACCATTCTACAATGATATTAACATTGACGTCAAAAGAGGAGTTGGGCAAGGCGATATCATCTCGCCAAAATTGTTTACCTCTACCCTCCAAAATATCATGTGAACATTGGAATGGGATAATATGGGAGTGAAAATCGATGGTCAGCAGTTACATCATCTTCGCTTTGCTGATGACATCGTCCTTATAACACCAAACATTGAGTAAGCGAAACGTATGCTTGACGACTTTGATAAAGCCTATGGAAAGATTGGTATTCGAAACATCTCACAAAAACGATGTTCATGAAGAGCGGATTGGTTTTGCGTGCCACATTCACGCTCAACGGCATATATATCTCCAAATGCTCCAGTTATATCTATTTAGGTCGGGAAATCAATGTGATGAACAGCCCAGCTCCAGAGCTGAGCAGAAGGAAACGAGCGGGTTAGGGAGCTTTCAATGGCATTGATGATGCAGTGAAGAGGACAAAGAACGCCCGACTCCGTGCCCACCTTTTCGACTCAACGGTACTTCCTGCCCTAATGTATGCGTCAGAAACCTGGTCGCTGCGTAAGCAGGATGAAAGGTCACTCAGCGTTATCGGACGCGCAGCCGAAAGGACGATGCTAGGACCATCCCGTTTCACACAAATAAGGGATGGGATCCGAAGCTCCGACCTGGGTCGAGGATTAAAAATCAAAGATGCCGTTCTTACGCCAAATAGTCGAAGGTATGGTGGGTCGGACACGTAATGCGTGTGAATGACAACCGATGGAAAGGAGTCGTTAGTGGCTGGATTCTTCGGGATGTCAAACGTACTGCAGGAAGACCACCGACCCGATGGTCATAGTTCTTCATGAAGAGCCTAGAAGAAAGATATGATGCTCGATAAGTTTCTAGAGCGAGTGGAACCCACTGGGCTACTCTTGCACGAGACAGGGAAAAGTGAAATATTTAATGGCGCCCGCTCAAGTCACTCAACGATCAGCGGGACTACAGGTGATACAGTTGATACAATGACTTGTGTGGCCTACCGAAGTATCGAGCGAGTGCTGCTATCCTCCCAAACAGGTCTGGTTCCAATTTGCCGACCCCGGAAGGATGGAAGCCTTGGTGGGCCATGGGCATGGAGATCGATTCAACGTGTTGCAGAGCGCCTTCGACCACTGAGCCACGAGCGCCACCATCAACCATATGCGATTCTAATCAGCGATTCCTACCCAGTGGAAGGCGCATAAAAAATGGCTGTGAAGTAGATACTGCCGAAACGTCAACTACTGTTGCGTTGTATATATTTCTTGTACGGAAATAAACGTGTACTGTATAATAAACTCGCGATTGTTGAACAGGAAAACGACACATTAATGATCGACTGCCGAGGTTAGTAGAAAATCGATCCTGGTAACTGCTGTTATACGATAAGTTCTTAACAGGTTACCGTACATAACAGTAGTGCGAAAATCACGAAAGGTGCTTGATGAGGAACAACCGTCGCTCATTATCTGCTTTTCCGTCCGTCTACCCTGAGTCACTGGAAGGTAGGAGAAATGCAATAAGGCCAGATTTAAACGTGTTCTTCAAGTTCCGACAACGGCAAGAAGGCGACGTGACTATGTAACGAATGTATCGTCATAGAAATGGGCGATTTTCCTTGAATACGTGAATGATTGAATAGCTCGTCGTCATCAATTAAGGAATGTCGTGTGAGCCTCAACATATTTCTCATTTGTGTGATTATTTGCTAATTGGACAAAAATTTTTCTCTGAAGTCCGGAAACCTACGCGAAAGTTTTCTCACGTGATCACTGCTCGCCAACTAGTGACTATGTTGATCTTGCGTTTGCAGTGATTTCATTCCAGGCACTGGTTCACTCTTCGCTAGAGCTCAGTACGGAATTGTCGAGTTCCTTTTCCTTGGGAAGCCCCGCAGAGGAGTGATCCTCCGCTATTGATCGTCCCCCAGATGGGAATACGCCTCAGCAACGATGAGGCAATGAGCTATTCGGAAGAGAGTGGCAGATTTTCTTTGTCAAAGATTTGTGATTATATAAGACATTCAAATTTAGGTAAGTCGATGAGAGGGCAAATAGTTTGTTACTTGAGCACTAACAGGTTTAAGCAAAATCACGCTGACCAGGTGAAAGTCAAGTGTTTTCTGGATTCCTAGGAGAAATCACCGCAGTTAAGCGGAGCTAGCTATTGTTCTGGGATAAATGGATAAGCAGTTTTTTGGCAAAGACTGCGAGCAAACTTTTCATCTTCTGGTTCCGGAATCGGACGAGTCTGCCTATCGGATATCTGCACTTGCTGGATGTCCCTATTTCGATGGATACATAAGTGGAGGTTGTCGAAACCAATATATTCAAAAACCTTCGGCTTTGATTGATGCAGAAGAAGAGTACGGTTTCGACTTAGAGTTAACGGTTTTCGAGATTATCTTGAAACTTAGGATTCTTGACATTGGCAGCAAGGGACCTTCAAAAGTGACAACTAAGAAGAGATCTATTGAGAGGATCCAAAAGTGGAAGAAGAACGAATTTTTACAGTTTGATATAAAGATTACTTTTCTGTATAGATCAAAAGAGGAACATTCTAAGAAATGCAGTATTTCGACGAGTCCTTGAATGGGAAGAGGTTGAAGAGATGTCGAGGTCAGAATAAATGATAAAGCTTTTGGTATTAATCAATCCCTGAAAGATACTCCACGCTTTCAACTTCATTAGTCATTGATAGATGTGATTAAATGGAAATATGTCCTATGCGATGATTTACAAAACGTAGCTATGTGTAAGGCCAGGTTGCTCTCATCCTGGACAAGTCTGGTAGCAATCAGGTGACCGCGAAGGCATGGCGGGCCTAGGACGCAAATATAGGAAAGCTCCCTTCGAGTCATAAAACTGGCGAGTACGTAGTAATGCTTCAGCATGAGTATTCCAAAAGGAACTAATCGAGCAACATTCAACGTAGTCAATGAAGAAGACCAACTTCTAAGGCAGCACCCAAACTCACACGAAAATTCGAAGGCCTTTGTTGATGACGGTTGCGAGGGAACAAATCAAATGAATAAAGTGACTGGATTCCCACAATGTGACCTGTCTGATGATGTAAATAGAAGCAAGTGATAAGCAGAGCTATGTGCACAATAAAACAATTGTCATTCTTTTTTAATTGGGTTCATTGCCAGTTTGGGCTCCCCAGATCAGTCCCGCTGATGAGTTGTTGCTGATGTCACCGATCGATAGAACTAGCTGAAAGACAGGAGAAGCAATAGACCTGCATGGTGTGGTGGTGAACGCGTTAGCTCACGGAAAGGGTAGTAGTGTGTTCCTTCCCCACCGCACACACCTGCGGTCCGGTGTTTTGCAAATATCTCAGCGTCATTTAAATTGTCTTTGTGTTTAGTAATTCACAGTTTGAGTCAAAAAACTTCCGTCCGAAGTTCACTGC